CTCTCAAGGACTGTTTCGTCAAACTAAAAAGACTGATGAGGCAGCTTTATCTATTTTCGAAACTCTTGAAAGTGTCGGAGAGGGAAGTTGTCGGTACGTCAGTTGTCAATGCATACATTGACAGAATTCGTACGATAAACAAAACTCAGCAAATAAAATGAACTACGTTAGTAGAAAATAAAATATATTGTGTACATAAATGAAAATTTAAGGAAACATGTACAAGTCGACAGAAGAGAGTCCACTAAGAAAGTTGGGGTCATTGCTCGAAAATGAAGCAATAATGTCTAAGTTTAATTACCTTGCCTTATAAAAACTTATAACTGATTTTTCTCCGGTCTTTTATAGCTTTACCCCGTACGCGGAGAAATTTCCAGAACCTGCGGTTTCTCGATATTGCTGGAAGGCGTACGCAATTACATTTGCATAGGGCCGAAAACTGTTACCAGTTACAAAGAGTTCGAACCAGGTGACAGGTGAATGCAGTGCCGAACACCAGGACGGCTTTGTATGACAAATCGGATGTCGTCCGGTACCCGCACCTATCTAGAGCAACACAACCCTCGCGGCATCCCGCGAGGATTGCATCGGGAATTTATTAATTCAGAATATGAGGTTTTGACGTGGCCAAACAAGGGCGTTTGCAAATATACTTCAACATACAATTAATAAAAATGACAAAAATAAGTATATTGGCTGGCATAGGTACAATTGATACATATATACGTTGGCCTAAATGGTTAATGAGGCAGGCAAACCATAAACACTTATACATTAAAATAAATGATACACTGATAATATTACTGGCTCATTAATGCAGAAGATGGCAAATGATTATTACTCGTAATCGTGTATCATCCTATATGTCTATACATAAACTACAGAAATGATATACATAGACACTTATACATTAATAGCAATGATATTATACTTATACATTAATATTAATATACACTTATTAATAATTAATATACACTTATACATTAATGACAATGACACTTGCACAATAATACGAATGAGGACGATAAATGAAAACACAAAATAATCATTATTATTCTACTGGGCCATGCACACATCAATAAAAGTGATACATTTGAACACCTATACGTTGATAGAAATGATACACTAAGAATGATAATTGTGCATCAGTGTGAAGATGGCAATAAATGATTACACATAATCGTGTATTATCTTACGTGGCTATGCATATATTAGTAAAAATGATACACTTAAATACTTATACATTAATAGAAATGAAGTACTGGTAGTGGCACTTGTACATTATACGATAAATGAAGAATAATATTTACATGTAATCGTGTATCATTCTATGTGGCTATACATACATTAGCAAAAATGATACACTTGAACATTTATACATTAATAGAAATGGTACATCGAAAATAATATTTGCACATTAATACGAAAGATGACGATTAATGATAGCACAAAATCATGTATTATCCTACTGGGCTATGCGTACATGAATAGAAATGATACATTTAAACATCTATACGTTGACGGAAATGTTGCACTGCGTGTAATACTTCTGCATTATTGCGAAAGATGACAATTAATGTATATGTTACCGTGAAAGACCGAAATTGGAGAATGTCGACTTTCATCGGAGAATATCAACATTCACCAAATACGTCGGTGAAAGACCGAATATTTCACTACATTATTGTATATTCGGACCCTCACCGGTGTATGTCGACAATCAGATATGCTCTGGTTAAAGTCGAAAAGAGAGGTCATAAAGTGCCATAATAGTTTAAGTTGTTGCAATAAATAAGATTTGAATCACATAATTTAGTAAGTTTTTTATTACTGTTATTTTATTTTCTCATTTAGAATGTACTGTATAATTAAGTAAGTTTTTAACTTCTATTATTTTCCTTTCTCATTTTGAATGTATTGTGTGTTTTAGGTTCTCATGTTCTTAAGTTCTTATTTCAAGTTTCAAGTGCGTTTATTCGCCACTGAATTACGGAGAAGAAAATATAATATTGTTATATGTTTAACATTTACCATTAGTACATGGTGAATGTCGACATTGACCGGTGTAAGTCAGAAATAAGAGTATTTGGAAAATATTTCGGACATACATCAAGAGACTATGTGAATGTTGACATTCACCGGTGAAAGTCGACATTCTCCAGATTTCGGTGTTTCACCGTAACATATACACATAATCGTGTAGCATCCTACGTGACTGAAGTAGAAGTGATACAAGTGAAGTAGTAACGTAGAAGTGAAATAGTACAAGTGGAAGTGAAGTAGAAGTAATACTAGAAACGATACACTGAAGATGATACTTGTAGATTAATATGAATGATGAGGGATCGGACCAGATACAGTTACACAGGTATCGAACCAAAGTGCTGACAAAGGCTCGCAAAGCTTGGCGACTTTTGGTGGATTTCAGCCAAATCTGGCGATAAAACTTTATCGCCATAACCATCGCCAGCTTGGCGACATAGCCATTTACCCCAATGTTAAATAGAAAATATTTAAATAGCGCTGGAAAAATAGGGTCCCCTGTAACCCTATTTTTCCAGCGATGCAAAATTCGTAACAAAAGATCACAAAAATTGCTAAATGACAGAGAAATGTCGCTGAGGGGTTAAACAGCTTGATTTCGATTTCAGTCAACCATTTAAAATTAGGGAAAAAAACAACCATAGTTTGATATAGATTTTGAATAATTCTATCACTTTTGACTGCAGTCAGTCACAAATCTTTCTTTTTCAGGAGCTATCACATTCCCTGAAAAATCTACAGCAAACCAAGTTGCGTTTAAATTGTGTTTTTGTTTAATTAATTTTACGTTGATATGTTTATAAGGTATTTGTCCCGCCTTCCTAGCATGCCTTCGTGGTACGGTGATTTGCACGCTGGGAGCGTATTCCAGAGGTCCGCGGTTCGATTCCCGGCGAAGGCGTTGCCCATTTTTCATTTCCTCTGCGTGCAAAAAAATATTCTAATGTCTCTACATTTTCTCTTTCGATGAGAGACACCTTCCGAATGTTAAGATTAAATAGTGCATCTTCGGTTAAATAATTTCCAGAAAAGTTATGAACAGTTCATAAAGAACTTTGCCATTTTCCTAATAAAAATACTGTGAAAATACATATTTGTATACTTCTTGATATTTTTATATTAAATTAGTTAAATTCCATTGCTGCTTTGAGGGATACGTTTTCGCCTTATTAATGTTATTACTGGGCTAATGTTATCAAAATATCCGAAGACAAACGTGATCACATTAAGCAGCGCCTAAGTATAAGCATATTGTGTGTGTGTGATTATGCCAAAGCCTCAAGGGCTATCTGCCTAAGAGTAGGGGTGCCTTCGTGGAGGGCTTTCTAAGAGAAACTGGTTCGTATACACGTTACACATCGGGAAAACTACGAAAACGCCCATGCAGCCAGCCCGTTCGCAGCATTCGAACCTCGGCCCGAACTACCAGTGTTCAGCGACTTTACCGCTCGGCCGCTGGTGGGCCAGTATAAGCATATTAAGTGTCAGTTCGTCGTTAAAGCACTTAATAGTTAAAATTGGCATCGCCCAGTCCATAACCTGGAAATTCCAAATGTCTACAAGAGCTTGTTCGTGTCCGCTTTAACAAAGATGTACTCTTTTAACAAAACAGTTATGAATGATACATAACTATTTTCCAAAAACTCTTTACAGTTCTGGAAATTTGCACACAAAAATACTCTCACAGTCCTTCTCAGTATAAAGAGCACAATCAATAGTTATTACTGCAAACTGACAAGAACTTTGAACACAACAGAATGCAAATCAGTAAAAATGTCATACGAAAGATACTATAGGTCTGAGTTAATAAAATGATTTATTTAATAATTAGTTATTGATTAACCAGAATTATTTCCGAAATCTGTTATAAAATTACTTAGTTTTCGAAATTTGCAATTTACGTTCTTCCCTTTGATGTTAGATCACAACCTGAGGTCTTTTTCCGTCTGTTTTACTGTAATCTTCATCAAAATATTGTTGCTATCACGACGTTACTGCCATTTAATGTGCGAAAATAAAAAGTTTAAAATAAAATTTAAATAACATTTCATGAAGAGCCAGAATATCTTTTCCATCATTTAGAATGTGTTTGTTTTTTCAATGACTGTCAGTAAAAATGCCATACGAAAGATACCATGGGCCTGAATAGATAAGACTGCTGAATACTGGTATTTCATCCCTAGTTGAAATCGCGGTTGATGTGCCGGCTGCATGGGCGCTGTCGTCGTTTTCTCTACGTATAAACATGAATACCAGCCAATTTCTCTTATAAAGTCTTCTTACGAAGTCATCCCTTCAGTAAAAAAATGGCTCGAACATACTTTGCCATAATAAATAAAATCAGTAGATACAAAATTACAATATGCTCAGAAACTTTCAGCTGAGAAAATTTAAGTTTAGGTTTAGGAAGGCTGTATGAAATACCAAAAATAATTAAAAGTTGAACTAAATAAAAATATTTTGCAAGTAAATACTTCATAATTTCGATTTTCTAAATTTTTCCTTTCCTGCGTTTTATAATTATGATACATGTACTTATAAAACTTGTCAGAAATGTTAATCCTGTACTGGCATCAGGTTTTCATTTATAGTTCAAAAAAGGACTAGGTGAATTTAGGACAGTAGTTGTTCTAGCATAGCGCAAAATAGTTAAGGGGAAAAAATATCCTTTCTTTAGACGCGAAAGATCAAAGTGCCAAGAACACATTTCACAAACTCAAGATCTGTTTTTTGCCTTTCGTTGATCTAAACGGAAGTTAGTGTAAGTGTTTCGGAGAGAGATAAAGTTTTAACGGTCCTTTGCAATCCTAGGTACGAGATCGGCGGAACCGTCGGACGCAGACGGAAACACCGAAGCCGGAAGAGGACGTAAAGCTTCCTCTACTGACCCCCACATTATATGATTGGAAAGTTTTTGCCCTCGTTCATCTCCAAACAGCGAAAGAAGCGATCTGGCTCCTCCCTGACAGACTGACAAGAACGTCGTTGTGCCTGTACTTCCGAGAGATTATCTTGCTGGGAAGTTATCTTCATCGTGTATGAGACGACGTTATTTCTTGAATTTAAAACTATAATTATTTAAGCACATCGGGAATGCAACAACCTGAAAATACATGGTGCAATAGTTATGCTAATAATTGTATATAGTGATCTTTTAATAGTTATTTATAACGAAATGAATTCTTATCCCTCAAAAATGTGTAATAGTTGTGGGAAAATAATTATTAGCGAGAGTGAACTGAGGAATATGCAACAAACGTTGTTTTACCCTTTCATTCACAACGGAGAGCTGGTTTTGGAGGTAGAATGTGGCGCGAATATCGGTTGGCTCTTCATATCTAGACTTTGCCAAGGGTCGAAAGGTGCTTCGATCTTATTCCAGAACATATGGTTCACGCCAAATGAGTTTCAGTTCATAAGTGGAAGAGAAACTGCAAAAGACTGGAAGAGAAGTATCCGTCATAAGGGCCGAAGTCTCAAACTTCTCATGACTAAAGGATTTTTCAACTTCCATCCTTCTATTTGTATTTGTAAAGGCATTTTGACGAAAATTGTAAGTAAAGACCTTCCAATTTAATTTCATACCTAAATTTAACGAAGGATTATGATAGACAGTTTTGGGTCTCTTTCAATGTATTAGTAACAATCGTTATTTTAGCTATAAATTGAGGTTTCCTTCTAAAAATTACTAACGACTTTTAAGAACAATTTTTAAATCCCGATTTCTTTATTTCTGGAACTTTTGTACTTTTAATTACGAAAAAGGCCTATTATATTTACGGTAAAATAAAATTTCCATTAAATTAATATCAACAAATCTGCAGCTTTCATAAACTGCAGAGTTTCCAGCATTCTGGCTCCAGTAACAATGCATCAGTTTTACGAGTTTTTGGATTTCATACTATCATAGAAGTTTCAGAAACAACAATCCAGATATTTTTATTTAATTAAAACCTCTAATAACAGATATTAGACACTTTCGCTAGAGCATAATATTAAAAGTTTTGTAATCAGGTCTTACAGATGTGAGTTGGGCAGTAATAGATGCAGTGTACATGAAAAATAAAATTGTCCTGACATTGATTACGAATTTACCATATTGCAGGTTTCACTGAAGATTTCTTACATTACTTAACTAAATATCATAATATTTTTAAAATTTAAATAGCATAACGAAAATTTTGGACTTAACTGATACGGTAGAATTTATAAAATATCTGTCAAGCGAAAACTTTCCGCCATACTATTTAAAGTTTGGCGAAATTTTAAATAGTAGGGCGTTGAGCTAAAACGCTTGAAAAATACTTGCAAACACTTGACGACTATGTTTACATATCAGGTATCTAATATGGAAATAAAACCAAATATTTCGTAAACACAATTATACGTATGAATAAAAGATCAAATATTTGAACTTTTAAATTAAGACACAATAACACGCCGAATAAATACTAATTCAGAAGTCAAACAACAAAAATCAGCGTTAATTTACAAAATTTTCACAGGACTAGTTTCGATGGTTTTACCGAACCATCATCTTCAGCTGCAAAACCGCAAATGAACAAGATAGGAAATAATGTTTAGATAAGATAAGAAAGCCTGGACAAGAATAAGCAAGTGGCGCCATCTGTTGGCGAAACCAGAACTAAAACATAATTTCTCTAAAAGCCGAAGGCAAATTTGGATTGGAATTAGGATCGTTAACTAGAACAGTTAGAAGTAAAAACATTTCACATTCATAAAAATCTTTCTGTTCTAGTTAACGATCCTAATTCCAATCCAAATTTGCCTTCGGCTTTTAGAGAAATTATGTTTTAGTTCTGGTTTCGCCAACAGATGGCGCCACTTGCTTATTCTTGTCCAGGCTTTCTTATCTTATCTAAACATTATTTCCTATCTTGTTCATTTGCGGTTTTGCAGCTGAAGATGATGGTTCGGTAAAACCATCGAAACTAGTCCTGTGAAAATTTTGTAAATTAACGCTGATTTTTGTTGTTTGACTTCTGAATTAGTATTTGAACTTTTGTTCATAGATATGATTAATAATTTCGTTTCAGAATGAAACATCTCCGTATTTTTTCTGAAAATGATTGAAGCACTGAAGTACATATAGTTTTTCGTAGGTAAACAGCAGTTTCTTTAAGCAAGACGTGATAATGTGATCGTTGACCTGTATCAGCTGAAAATTAAAATTTTAGTTGGCTATAAATAAATCAAGATGAATGTTCTACAGATCGTTGGTGTTGATGTAACTAGTTTCGTCCGATCTTCAGTTAATTTATCGGTTGTTTAATGCAAAGAAAGAGACATTATAGTGGCACGATTTTAAAGTAATATTCGTCACAACGTTTTTTCGTTTAAATGATAAACTAAAATCATAAACTTTTCGTTTAAATCATAAACTTGGCAACTTCAAATCATCATTCATATAACCTTAAACTTAAATACTCGATGCAGTGTGTGATCATTCACATATAAGACACAATTTCTCTATTTTCCTTTATTTTTACTTCTTTTTTTTCTCGTCTAATATTTTTCTTCTATTGGGTTTACCTGGACAAATATATCATGTTTGGTACGTACGTAAAATAGTTTTAAAGGATGTCTTTTGCTCTTGTGCCTCTGGAGTTTTAGATTCATGAACTAAGCACTTGAGAAATCAGCCTTTCGTCGACCGATATTTAAAAAAACTTATTTACTATTGTCTTTCTCTTAGTTAGTGGTTAAAATTGTTCAGCTATATCTAATATTGATTACTGGTAATACTTAAAGGGAAAGAAAAATTATGGAAATTATCCTTCAATTCTAAATGTTCGATAATTTCCGTTTCCTAAATAAATAAATGGTTTCGCTTAAATATTATTAACTTTGATTGTACTTTATAAGCCCATTAAATTTAGGTATATTTTTAAGTATTGAAAAACTATCATTTTCAGTCTGATTTGTTGCAAAAAACGTATAGTACTGAACATATATTCGTGACGTATGAATTAAACTGTGTATCTCGAATTATCCTTATAAATGTTTTCCCAGAAGAACATTATGGTCTGCACAATAAAATTACACTATATGCCAAGCTCAGTAGACAAATAAGATTATGCGCTTTCCGACCTTCAATTTGAATGACGTACCATTGTCCAGTCACTGACGTCACTTGACTCATAGCCGTAGGAGACACGAAGACACAATTGCATTAAGTAACCCAAGTAGGCCAGATGAATGATGAAAAGTGACAATGCTGTTTATTATAAATTTTCATAAAATTTAAAATTTATTAACAATGTTATCAAGTTAATACGCGGTAAGTACACACAAAAATTATAGAGAAAGGATTAAAGAAAAAAGGATAAGTTATCTTAGGTTTACTAAAAACAAACAAATAATGAAACATTTGGATAGCTGCCTGTGAACGAGCAGATGAGTTTAATTGCGAATACGCCATCATTTGCTTAATACATTTTAAAGATGAAAATATCAAGGGATTTGGGGAATGACTTTTGGGGATACCACTTCATAAAAGGGTTTTAAAAAAGCAGCAACTTCGTCAATAAATCTGCCAAAAAATTCGAAAGACGGCATAACAGTATGAAGGACACAAGGAAAACGTCAAAGTGGAAATAAAGTCTTGATTGCAGAAATCGCTGACATTCATTTACAATGATGGAGATGATCATAGCAATAAGAGAGAAAATTCGTCAACCGAGTCCTGCTGCAAATTACCAGGGTCCAGTTCTGCTTAAAGAACCCACTTCGAGCCGCTTTCGTAAAGTTCACAGGTTAAAATAATTCACAAGTAAAAAAAAAACTAAAAAGCCATGTCAAAATAAGTGGATTTCTGAAAATCTTTCTGCACTGTAAAATTTGCCTTTACACTGAAAATAACCAGCTATGAGAATTAAGCACTTTTAATAACGTTAAGAAATTATGTATTGCTTTCTAATAAAGTAATTACTCATCAAGCTGATTTTCTTATTTTCTTATATCAAGGGTCCGTACTCTCTCTCTACGAAACTGCTTTCCGCACGAAAATATTTTCTTCTGCATATAATTTTAAAATGAATACTGTTGTTCTCAGTGAGAAAGAAGAAAGGGAGGCAGAACTTGAACAATAAATCCGAATAGTTCTACAGTGTTTCACAATTTAGTATCCTATCAAATACCGTGGTACGTCACTGACTGCATCGCATATAAATTTAAAAAGTATTTGCCTTTTCCATGGTCGGAAAGAAAATAACGAAACTTTAGACTTGTTGTTAGTTAAAAAGTATTATCCAGTTGGGTAACAATAATAAACAAAGAAGGCTTTTTGCATCCTATAGGAAGAGTGGAGGAAAATCGTTTGCATATTCGAAGAAAATTTCAACAAATTTCCTGGAAATGAACTTGTAAAAGCAAAAAGAAACAACTGGAATTTTATTGTTGTTTAGGTTTGAAGTACACTGAATATTGATAATCCAGTAAGCAGCATATTTGTATTCTAAGGCAAGAACAATAACAAGAAAGAGAAATATTAATAATTTAAAATACATTTCTCGTCTTCAAAAGAAGAGAAAAACAAAGTTGACAAGAATATTAAAGTTTATGTAATATATATTTGAAATGTTTGCCTTTAATTTTAAATTATTTTCATTATTTTTACTACTTACTTAGTTTAAGATTTAATATTTTTTTTATTTATCAAATGTTTTCACAATTGCTGCTATGCGAGTTAAGGGAGAGGGAGTAGTTGTTTTGAAGCAGACTGTGAATCAAGTGACGTCATAAGCTGAGGGATTGGTCCCGATAGGAGACGTATGGTAGAGAAGAGTAATCCTTACAGTATACTAATCTTGTTATATCCCATATTGAAGGTACGTCCTTTATTCCTTACATTTCATCCCAACTTAAAGTCTATTGGGGGAGGCAGAACGGCTCATATTGAATTAATAGAATGGAGATAGTTTTCATCCGCCACTGCAGATCTGGCGCCGATACAAACCTACAGAAGTTTTGGAATTAGAAATAGAAGAGGACAAAACAATGTCCTTGCTCGGATTCAATGACTGACCTTTGAATAATCAGCCGTTACACAACAGCATGTGATAGTAATGTCTATATTATTTTGTATTTAAGGTCAAAGAACTAGAAAAGCAAAAATAAGTTACTTTTTGTATTAACGAAAAAACATCTGGCAAACCCCCTCGGAAAAGAGAAGGAATAAATGAATGTATGAAATTAACATTTGATATCTGCATAATATGCATAAATTTCTTTCAGGCAATCTATGTTTTCCAAATAAAATATCCGTTATTCTTATAGTATGAGAAATGTTACTCACACACAGCATGTTAATCGAATAAGCTTACGAGAATCTTGAAAAGTCAATATATTTATCTCTTTTTTACGGCTTTCAAAGAAGTTTTCACATAGATACACTCTTCTGAAATTGTAGTCCGTTTCATTCGAACTGTTGCTGTGAAATCGTGATTTAATTTACTTCAACTAAATATGCTCTATTCCTATTTCTACTAAATTAAAAAAATTGATAATTTGAATGATTTAATAGAACATATT